CAAAGATAAGAAAATAGCTTGGAATAGCAGGTCATCAACCGATCAGGGACCAGTGAATGAAGATGAAGTTCAAAGGTTGGATTATTCATGAATAACCAAAAGGTTGGATTATTGTAAGAAAACCGCTAAAAGGTTGGATTATTAGTTTCCATTTTCCCTTTGTTATTTGGTAGGTGTGGCTTTTCTTCTAATACTCCAAGTTTTCCTCCTATGTTGCTAGTGTATACTCCCTTTGTATCGTAATAGGTGTTTCAATATGCTTTTCATGTAGTTTAAGATAATTTATATATTTACTGTAAATTTTTCTAAACAAGTAGGAAATTTTTTATACCGTAGCAGCACTGTTTACTTTATTAAAATGTAATGTAGCTGCTTTTGGGGTAGATTTCTTCATAAAATAGAAATGTGACATTTATTTTGTTACTTCCATAAAATGAAAAATTTGACACTTATTTTGATACAGAAGTTATAAATAAATGTCTTATAGGGTGCTCTTATTTTTAAGCTACTAATAAATGAACGAGTTTCAAATTTAATTACATTTCATAAGTTTGAGGTATCTATTCAATATTTCACCAATTCAATATTTACTGGCTAAAGGGTCAAATAGATACATGAACTAACTTAAAGTGTTCAATTAGTCCCTTATATAGGAGGTGCTGCCCGGCCGTCGCCAATTGGGGCAGTTCTCAGTGGAATTTTTTGATGAATTTTTTTGAGCATCTTCTTAATTAAGTCTAGTTTACCCTTACCAAATCTCAGCTAAAAATTCAACCGGCAAGGAAGTCAAATGATTTTTTGAAGATAACTGCACAGTTAAACAGCGCAGTACATGTAAGGGACTAATTGAACACTTTAAGTTAGTTCATGTACCTATTTGACCCTTTAGCCATATTTACTTTAATGTAGACAGTTACTTTATGGGGTATCTGTTAGTAATTTCCCTTGAAATGGGGTGTTCCAAGTTTAAGTTTAAATTATACAACAAAAAATTGCCCTAATAGGAGTAAAGCGTTTGTGAATGCCAAATTACAAACTATAATGTTTTTATTCCCTAAATAAGAGTAATTACTATCATGTTTTATCATTTCCATACTATAAGCATGATATTATTTTCAAGTTTGGCAATAATTATACATATTTAGAAAATAAAAACATGAATGTCCTATTTAAAAATTTTGAAACGTTTTTACTCATATTTCGGGATTTTTCCCATATACAATCTATTTCAATAGATTAACGTTGAAGCTACCAAAACAAGTGTGAAATTCAAATACAGCAAGAGAACCAAACAAAAGAAATCACAATGTTTAACTTATGTAGAAAATATTGGGCATTATACCATCGCGCAACGCGCGACACAAAACTAGTACTACGTATAATATAAGAATAGAAGACGGGGTCGATCAAGGGGTAATCTAAGTTTTTACTAGTTCATTCCTCTTTAGAAGATTAGAGTATAAAATGTTTGGAATTGATTTGGATGCCGTTTGGAAGACCCAAAATGGGCTTACAAGCCTGAAAACAGAAAAAAAAAATCTCCAAACACCTATCAAACAAGCTGATTTGGCTGAAAATTATTATCAACTCAAAAACCAACCCTAACCCTAAGGCTACTTTTTTAATTGAAAATTATTATTTCAGTGTTGGCTATTCTAAAGACCACTTTGTCATTCCATTACATCCGAAATATATCCCCCCTGCTCAATATTATCTTCTGCTCGTTGCTCATAGTTCCTTATCCAAATAGAAGACTTTTGCTCGGCTGGACCATATATATTCACAAAGATAAGCTGCGATCCAGTTTCTTCTTTAATTCTAGAACCTAACTTGAAGTGCCTCAAATTCTAACTGAGACATAGCTAAATGCTTAAATATTAGCATTGCAAAACGCCTTTTCCTCCACTCATGATTATCTGGATTGATGTGCTTCTGTGATGGTAGAGTATATTTACGGAGTATATTTTGAAGAGTTCTAATCAAACAAAAGAAAAACTATTAGCAAAGTTCCACTCATTTATTTAACACAATGATAATATCCTTCATGGTAATTTTACATTTAATTAGCCATTTCAGTCAATATATTACTCCGTACTAAACAGAAACTTCAACAGATTCAACCATTTAAGCAGATTCAGCCGTTGCAGCCGTTACCAAACAGGCCCTTAGCTTTATTTACTTCTTGAAAGGAGTAGGATGAGAATTTTAATTAGAAGTTAGGATGTTTTTACTTGGCCTGTTATTTGCTGATCTGGTCTGATCTGGTCTGGTCTGGTCTGATCTGGAACAAATTACAGTTTAAGTAAAAAAAATCCTTAGTCTTCTCAATTGTTGTACGAATAATTTGGAACACATAAAAGTACTTTTGCACCCGCAAAAAAAAAATCACTTTTGCATTTTCTTTCAAAAACTCCAATACCGAATTCTGTTGTTTCATAGGGAGTATAAACAATTTTAAGAAGTGGATCTATATACCTCCTATTTGAGAAAACATTTGTAGTCTAGCCCCTATTGTCCTATATTCTCTTCTTCCCAACTTAAAGCTCTCATTTTTACCTTTTTTAGATCTCCCACTAAAGATTCATATTTCATTTTTAGAAAATAATCGACACTCCTAAATGACAATTCAATCATCAAATATGAAAAATCTTATATACTATCAAAACTATTTCTAATAATATAATCGAATTATGACAATAAAAAAAATATAATCGAATTATCTTCTTTAATTATTATCTTAATAATTGTGTCATTTTGCAATAAGAATCTTAACACATGACACAAGTAGTTCAATTTCAAGAAATCAAAATTAAAATGAATGATTCGAAATATATTCCCGATACCACTAAAAGTATGAATATTCAATTGATTAATAATGTTATAGGTTATGCATCCCATTAGCTAAATCACATGGTAGGGTTACACGAAGTATATCTCTAAGTTTTACTATGTGATTGTTGAATACTTCGTATGGGGAAGCGAGATTTGTTCGTGATTTTGTTTTTGTTTGACACTCGCGACTCAGAATACATGTAGGATACGTTTGACTAATTTATCAATTATGAAATTATTATCAAACCCGATTTGAACTTAGGAACGTGTGTGGGATATTTGTTGCACACTAAACCAATTTGATACGTGTTGGTTTTTATTGAACTAAATACTATACGTAGTATAGAATTATGTATGATCGAAAGTCCAAATATCCATTTATTTCATTATGTTAAAATTGTTTCATTTTCCGATCCATCCCTTAAAATTATATATTATTTATCCCATTAAAACTATTGCATACTCGTATTGCATTTGATAATCTATGTCTATATGATTCCAATAGGAAATAATGGCCTCAATATTACTAGTCATCTTTTCATTTCTTAAAATATGACTACCATTTTAATTGGACTGACGTATTAATAACCAACCGTTTTAATAACCCTAATCTATCTCCAATTCCATCTTTAATTTTGATGAGTTTTACACATCCACGCCACCTATATCCCCATGAGGAAATCGTCCCATTGATTGATATACCGGCTCTCTTCCTCCTAAATCCTAATAATCGATGTACATGGCGACCCCCACTTCAGAACTCCTACTCCACTATACATTGTGAGGCTCCCATGCATGGAAAACTTGGGCGGCTTATAGATCAAAATGCAATTGTTTTCATACAAGAGTTTTAATTTGGTTATTCGATCCAGATCAATGAACGGATGATTTTATCTCTCTTGCAAGCAACAAACACACTTTCACATTAGTGTGAGAGGATATATACACGTAATGACGTAATAGTCTATAACTCTATATTGACATATGTGTGTGTGTATAAAGACCGGTTATTCTCAAATCTCAATGGCTTCTTCTTCTCCTCAAAGTGTGTGTATAACATCGATATACAAGAGTATTTGGTGATTTTTAATAACTCTCCATTGATCCTCATCTTCTACTTTTATACTAACATTTTTGGTTCTCCAATGATGGGTGATATAATTAATTCAAGTAACTAAATTGGCTTTGGGGATTGAATGTTTCTGCTAGTGACATTTCTTATCACTCATCGAAACTAATAGATAGATTATTGTCAATTTTCATTTCATTCTTTCATATTAGACCATTGGAGATTTGTATTGTATTGTAAAGTTTTCAATGATGCATAATAGAACAATCATCCATTTCCGTAACACATGAGGTTGGTTAACAAACATCCACTCACAAACTAGCTAATCGGAAGTCTTGAGCATATATTAATAAAATGAGACATTTGCAATTTTAATTCACTAATTAACTTTCAGTTTTGACTACAGGTAGTTGTAGAATTCTAATCGCTTGCAGATTTGATTGCGTAACCAATAAATCTTTACAACATAGAGACTTTTCCACTGTATAGTACACTTTTTGACAGAAAATCAGTTGTCACAATTTTTTGATATATATTTTGTCATAAAGTGTAATTTATAGCGGGAGAAGCACTTAAATTTCATAGATTTACTAATTACGGAGTACATGATCAAACATACAAATGAATAAAATTACATTACTAAAAGTGAGCATTGAGCACAAGTCAAAGATGTGGGATTAAATTTGTACTCGTATGACCTTAGTAAAATTCAAATCAATTATTTGAAAACTCGATAGTACTCCCTCCGTCCTTAAATAAACTTCCAACTTTCCCTTTTCGTCCGTTCCAATTAAAACTTCCACTTTCCTTTTTTGGCAAAGAATTTGTGGTTCACAACAATTCTTACACATTTTTCTCTCCTCTGCACAACTCTCCACCACACAATACCCACTATCTTAAACTTTGTGTCAAACCTATTTGGAAGATAAATTAGGGACGGAGGGAGTATACAAAATCAAGGTAGATTAACCAAAACAAAAAAGAATGCGGAATATTTATTTATTGTTACACAACAGATGCTTATAAAATACGTAGTTATAGAAACATAAAATGATCTTAGAGTAACTGTGTAAGGTAAGCGTAAAAGTTACAATTTTAGGCTTGTCTCATTTTAAAGTGCTTCACACTAGATGTCAGTTTAAATTTGATCACAAAGTCAATAAAATAATTTTTTGAAAATGCACAATTCTTTTGTATATAAAATACAATTTTTTTCCAAAAAATTATTTAACTGACTTCCCAATTAAATTTTTGATCGACATTATTTAAATTTTATTCAAGTGTCAGTAAAAAATTAGACACGAAAATACCTTAAATGAAAGAGGTTTAAAAATGGTAAAAGGCGTCCTCACATGATCACGCCCAAATCCAAAAACGGAGTGTATATATATGGCCTTCCCTTGGAGTCGGAAAATCATCAATCCCTCAAAAGCATTCCTGTGGCGGCGCGGCTTCTTTCTGTCTGTTTTCGTACCGGCTGATTTTCCAGATCTAAAATCTGCGCCTGTGATCTCCTCGTACCCGTGATCCATTTCGGGGTCTTTGATCGATTATTAAACCGGTTTCTCGGCACGTTTTATATCGATTGAGGTATCAGGTTTGAAGCAATCTGTAGTCATATTGTTGCATCTGAAGAGCAATGGCGAGATATGCAAGTGTAGAACACGAGGGATTGGACTATCTGCAACTACGTAAAAGGTTGAAAGAAGAAATCAGAAATCACATGAAGAAGGAGTCGGGAACAGCTACCGGCTCACGCAATATCAAGAGTTCTTCTTCATCCAAGGATAATTTTGGTTGTTTCTTCGGTCCATCACAACCAGTTATAGTTCAAAGAGTAATTCGAGAAAGTGAGGCCTTACTGGAAAACCCTGATTTGGCTGCTAAGGTTTTGAGGGCCAGTAATGCTAATGCCAAGATTGGGGGTTTGAACTCTGTTAGACCAAAGGCCAATACCAGTAGCAGGGCACAAATTGTTTCTGGTGTGGCAAAATCGAAAATCCAGGAGATAAGGAATGCTAGGGATTACTCGTTTTTATTATCTGATGATGATACTATCCCGCTTCCTGCTGCTCCAAAACCTGTTTTATCCAAGAAGATCTCTGCTCCTCGTCCTGAATCGTGCTCAGAACAATTGAAATCTAAAGCGGGTTTACCTAAATCTGTTAGTGTGAGCAAACAAAAACTTCCTTCAAAAGCTTCAACATCTGTTGTGAAGAGACCCTTGCCTAACTTGCCCAGATCAAATCCTTTGAAACAGCAACATACTGCCAATTCAAAGCAAGCATTGGTGCAGAAAAAGACATCTCAAGAATCCAGCAAGTCTAAGATGATTCAGAAACCATCAATTGGGGCATCCTCAAGATCCCCACCTGTGGCAATACAGAAACATGGAGTGCCCTCCTCTAGACCTCATGTGGTGATGCAGAAAGGAGTGGTTCCGCCCTCTAAACCTCCGATGAAGCAGCCAGTTATTAGAAATCCAGACCGACTCCCAGCAAAAAGACCTATGAGGATTGGTGATGGACATGATGATGGGTATAGTAGAAGCCAGGAGCTTCGCCCAGCAAAAAGACGTGTGAGATGTGATGGCGAAGATAATGATGCTACAAACGTGATTATGCAGATTAGGAACTTATTTGGGTATAATCCCAACAAGTATGTTGATGATGATGATGATCGTAATATGTTGGCTACTTTTGAAGACATAGAGGAGGAGGAATGGCACAGTGCCAAGATTACCAGGAAGGAGGATGAGGAAGAACGCATTAAGATAGAAGAAGAGGAAAGAAGGGAACGGCTGAGAAAGGTCAAAAAACGCAGGATGATGGAACGCAAGTGAAGAGACATGGAGTTAGAAGTAGGGAGGAAATGTTGCTATTGTGCAATGCTAAATGAAACACACATGAAGGCAGCAGTTTCTCCCTAGCTAGCTATGTTGTTCACTATTGTGTACTAACTTCATTTAGTAAGTCAGGGGAAATTCAATTTATTCTATTTTGACGGCTTGCAATTGACATAATACCGTACCTTTCCCTCAGGCTCAAAGGACACTTGGCAACATTTGTCTTTTTTCTTTGTAACACTTTCCAAATCTTCTCTGTATAGTATTTGGGTTAAGGATTATTTCAAGAGGTCCATGTAAGGACTAGTTTATTATGTGGACTCTTTAATATGAGTGAGTTCATCCAAACACTAATCTTCTTATGAAAAGTAAGAAAAATGTTGGTCTTTAATCACTAACAAAGTAACAAATGGATGGATTAATTTGACTTCAATCACAAAACACGTTGTCAAAAAGATGTACAAATGTTCATATTTTAAAGTTTATAGATATAAAAAAGGATTGTTAATTTTGTTTTAACTTGTTCGCATCTTATTATGTACCGTGATACAGTTTAATTAGTAATCTACGCGTGCACTATTTGCGTGTAAAGGGTTTTACTCCGTATGATATAGTGTGTAGTTTAATGATCGACATTTCTTATCACTCATGAGTCATGACTCATCTAATCTAAAAGACACATTATTGCCAATTCATTTCATTCTTTGAAATTAGACATTAGAGACTTGTATTATACTACGATATTTTGAAATTTTCAATGATGCATAATACAATAATCATCCATCTTCCTAACACACGAGGTCTGTTTACCAACATTCATTCACAAACTCGGCGGAAATCTTCACTATATACTACGTATATAATTGTATATTAATATATAAAATGAGATGTTGTCAATTTTAATTCACTAACTTTCGATATTGTCTGCATTAAGTTCTAAATCACTTGAGCTAGAATAAACAAAATAAAAATGTAATGGGAATACTTATTTATTATTACATGTATAGCAAATGGCTTATGATAGAATTATAAATACACAGATCAGATGACGTGTAGACACAGCGACTCGTCATCATCATTATTGTACAATGTAAAAATAAATAAAATTTACAAGTGACTCAAATCAAAAAATATACTCTATAATAAAGTAAAAATGGAAAACAAAAATGAAAAATACGCCATAAAAAATAAAAAGAAAACCAAAAGTCAACGACAGGCCTGCTTAAAGTCTAAACCTAAACTTGCATTGACTGTGCCTAACCCGGATGTCATTTGCCTCATTCAAGCTGTCAACTTCGACCCTGCACTTCACCAAGAACTTCCATTTCATAAGTTTCAGCTTCCCGAGCTTAACCCTCACCGGAACTTTTGCCCGGAGATCCAACGGAACAGTGCCCTCCGTCTGCTGCTGCGTCCTCATGGACTGAAGCAACCCTGACGCGTCACCCGTTTGACCGGTCAAACCCACGCTCAGCACCGTCGTGTTGCGGTGGCCTTGATAGAACTCCGGCAACGGCCCTTCACAGAGCTCCGTCCCGGCGTAGAGCACTCTCAGGTGGCTGCCGCTCTCGTAGTATATTCCGACCCTCTTGTTCGGGTTCCTCGCCGTGATGTTGACGTCGAACGTCGCCGACAGGCTGTTGTCGGCGTTGAGGCTGAGCTGGGTGATTCTCAGGCTGTCGACGGAGTACTTCGGAATCTTTGGCCGGAAAACGAGGAACAAGACGCCGGCGGACACGGCGGCGGCGATGATCACGAGTAAGAGGGTGCAGCACGTCCAGCACACGCATCTTCTGCAGCAGCTCCTTCTTTTCTTGACTATTTGCGGCGGCGGTTTTCGGTGGTGGGGTGTTAGCTGACGTGGTACTGGTGGCGGCTCCGCCGCCTGCTGCAGCTCCGGGTGGCCTTTGTCTGACCGTAATGAGCCTTGAGGAACCAATGGTGCCGTGGGTTCCGGTGGGCTTTCAAGATCCGTGTGGACCGGGTAGATTTTTTGGTGATCAGCCATGGCCAGGAGAGAATGGAAATTTGGAGGTTATGGAAAGAGGAAAGGTTGCATGTGATGTATATATAATTAATGGAGACTTTGAGATATAAAAAGAGGTTCAACAATTACGGAGTGTGAATTTAGAAAGTGTTAGAGGAATCAATTTCGGCAAGGAGAATACTTCTTTTTAGTAATTTTTAAATTTCATATTCGTAATACTACCTCCGTTCTCTTTTAGTTGCAACATTGGACTTTTTGCACTATTCACATATTCTATTTTGACTATATTTTATTAATTAATGTATTATAAATTAAATTTTTAAAAAAATATTGTTAAATTCCTGTCATTCTAAATTTTCAAAATATGAATTTTTTATTTTTTTTAACTAATAAGGAATGAAAGATATTAATAGTCAAACTTGTGTGTTGGCAAACGTGAAATGTTGACTGTTGCAATTAATATGGAACGGAGGAAGTATATTGCATTAAATTAAGCAAATAAAAGTCAAAGGTCAATTTACTTTCGAAGGTTCCTGTGTGTGGACTTGCAGCCTTGCAGGTACTTGTCCATGAAGTTTCTCCTTTGTTTTACTCCCTACGTCCTGAAAAAGTCGATCAAAGTTGACTTTCACGTGGATTAATAAAGTAAAAACCGTGTGGTTGAAATTTGTGCAGACGGGAGAGAATTAACTTTAGCCACATATTCTTTACTTTAAATGGAAATGACAAATCTTTTTGAGACATCCAAAAAAGGAAATTTGGCTAACTTTTTCGGAACGGATGGAGTATAAGCATTCAGGTCATCACATGCACTGTCATGATCTTTCCTATAGATAATTTTTATCCATCAATTTAGAGTTTGGTTTGGTGACTCTATTTTTTGATTTATCAGGTTTAGCAGTCGATTTTTTAATCAAACACTCAATTTTTTTCCCGCGTTGGATTGTGTAATACGGAATAATAAGAAAACGTAATGTTGGGGTCAATTTTCTAGATGTATTGGCTGAAGTGTTTTTAGATGACCATTTTAGCTATTTTCATACAAGTATATTTTTTTTCTTTATTTTATTAATAATAAAATATTTTACATTTTAATTTAGTAGAACATTAATTAAATAATTATAAGCAATTTTCTTTTCTTTCAATTTATTCCCTGAATAATTATGAAATAAAAAATACATATACCGATGCTAAAAAATAATTAAATTTTTAAACATTTTTCTGTTGATAAAAAATGAACTTAGTTCATGTAAAGTTGGATTATTATCAGATTCTCTTCTAAACGTTCAATTAAATCATGTGTGAACATTTTATGAGCATTCTTATAAAAATCCGTGTTCCATTTGAGTATTCTCGTGATTTTTTTCTTATTTTTTCCAGATTTCATAAAAAAATGAGATTCAGTTATTTATGGAGACTCAATGAGTAAAAAATATGTGTTTCATGTTTTTTAGGTCAAGAAAACTTCAACACTTTAAACTTAAAATTTGTTTTCACTTTATACTACATGTAATACTACCTCCGTCCCCTTTTATTTAGCCATCTTTGACTTTCCGATCAAAGGTGATAAACTTTGATCCATTATTTTAACTAATATATTTATATGAAACTTAATAATTTTATACTTTTATGATAGTATTTTTAATAAAGAATATTTTCATATAATTTTCATACTATCAATATTACCGTGTATAAATATATAATCGGTCAAAGTTGAACAACTTTGACTTGAAAAAAGATGTTTGGCTAAATAAAAAGGAATGGAGGGAGTATCACTTTCATACGAAAGATCATAACCATTCATAAATTTTGATACTCTATATATGTTTTTAAAACTTTAGAATATAAATAAAAAAGTTTGTTAGATTTTAATAAAAATTGGATTTTTATGCAACAATGATGTCACCATGACATCATTACCTACGTCTGTTGCTCCCCGCCGTCCGTTTTTCCTCATCTTTTCTTTTCTTTTATTTCCTCTTTCTCAAAGCCTCCTCTATTTCTAACACCCTCCATCATTTTTCTACTTTTAATGTCCTGTTTACTCCCTCAATGTAAGTATTTACGATTTCAAAAGTTCGACATTTAACTTTGTGAACATCTAAAACCATCCCACTACAAATAAATGGTGTAAATGGCGTGATGCTTGGATCATATATACAAAATATGTGTGATTGCATTGATCGACATTAATTGATCATTGTCCGTATAGATAATTTGTGTATTTTCTAATGAGTTTTCCACACAAACATGCTTTGTGTAATTGTCTGTGATCTTATTTGATAGATACTGATCGACCGTAACTTTATTTCAAGTAACCATGTGTGAACAAAATATGGTGTAGTATATGTATACAATATCATCTTTCAAGAAATATAAGAGCCAATAATCTACATAAATAAATTGAATATATGTTTGAATCGTTTCATTCCCATTTCCAAATATTGAAATTGAAAGCACTACCGTCGTGCATAGAATAACATTTTGAGTTTGTAGATGCTATTTAATCACAATTCTCTTGCCCAAGTACTTATAGAATAACATAGAATATCAACCAGTTGAGCTACGCTCATTAGGATATTTTGAGTTTGTAGCTAGGCTTCGCTTGTGACACTCTTTATCTATCAGTTGAGCTACGTTCATCAGAACATTTTGAGTTTGTAGCTAGATGCCTAAAATATTTAATATACTTTCACTACAAGAAATGTTATATTTGATGACACACATTTTTATTGACACATACAAAAGTGTCACAATAGCAATGTATATAATGACACTTTGTGTGACAAGAAAATATATTAGATTTTTATTGAGTTCATATAATGTTATCAATGCATAACAAAAATCTAACTTTCTTCACTAAACTAAATAAGTACTTCGTAGTTGTTTAGAAAAATATAAATTAGTTTTGCCGACACTTTAAACAATTAAAGGAATGCTCAAAAAGATTTATGAAATATATAACAAATGAAATGAATGAATATCTGGGCCGTTAAACGAACATTTACACATTTCAAAAACCAAAGTTCAATGGTCGGCCTATGAATCTGGCCTTTTCACGTAAGATTGGCCGTCCTGCAAAACCGCTAATCAGCTCTAGCGGCTCTATGGCGCTCAACACAAACGAGAACATCCGGATTCGTCCATCCCCAATTGGAACTTTTCCTGAATTGGTTAAATTTTATGGGATCTAATGTCGGCTGGATTGATTTGTTCATTGCTCAATATTATATTGTTTTTTCAGTAATAGTTAGATATGATTTGTGTTTTACATCCCAAAGTATGATCATAGAAACTGAATTTGCTTAATTAGTAAACATCTGATTGTATTTCTACATATGAATGTGTGTGATGAAACTGATGATCGATATATATTAAGTACTTTTTGAAATAGAATATGAAGAAACTCATTCTTGTTTGCATACAATGTGTTTGACAAAACTCCTCAAAGAATTGAGAAGCCTAACATCAGTGAGTTGTACGAACTTAATGTCACCAGAATATTTTAGTTTTTAGTTTCAAGTTGTTTTAGCATTACACTATTACTCTATTAGAATATATTTTTTAGTTCATTTATATCAAATTGCAACTCTAATTCAACAAGGAAATATGATTAATGCATTATTTTTTTACATATCCCAAACCTATTTGCTTTGTTTATTTATAAATATTGGTATGACTTGGGAGAGGGAAAATCAACTTTCTGAGTTGAAGCCTAATCGGTGACTAGTCACCGACTAGTCGGCCTACGCACTAGGCGGTGCTTAAAAATGTGATTTATAGATCTTAAAAAAGATTTGGTACCTTTCACTTTGAACTTTTCTTAATTAATGAACTAATTGAAATTGCATACAATATCGACAATATCTTTGTGAGCAGCCTTTGTAATACTGAAGGTTTCTTATATGAATATATTCACCTTTTCCCATATCCTTAAATTTTACATACTTAGTATAACATCATATCACTTTATACTTACACGTTTAGTCAATGGTTCTTTATTTTTTAGTTTAAGTATACTGCTCCAAGATCAAGCGAACAGTTCATAAATGGAGTGGAGAGCTTTATCAAATTTGCTTTTGAGAGATCAAGTCAAGATGGAAAAATTGTATGCCCGTGTAGGAAGTGTTACAGTTCTAGCATTGTTGTTACTTAAAAAGATATAGTTCTTATTAATTAAGTTTATGTTGTTCTGTACTAGATGTTTAGTGATAGTGCTTTAACAACTATCTAATTCATAATATCTTCTAGTTACTTATTCGTGGTTTGTGTGTATTTTGTGCTACTAAAATAATCATTTCACATATTGTGTGTTTGTTATACCCATATATTATTTGCAGGTTTGCAATTGAATATCCCTTTGGCACAAGGTGTGCTTATTACACCTTTATATTCAACTTATTTATAATACCTTATTTATAACACCTTTATATTTCCATGTTTTTTGTTTTTCCTGACACTTTTTGTGTGTCAAGAAATGTCACTTTTCGATCTTGTAGTGTTTATATATAGAAGACATATATATTTCAAATTTGGCTTTTGCCTAAAATGTTTATATTTAATCATCAAATATCATAACTGCATGAAGTAGGATAACTACCTCATGTGCACCATACGTCCATACTCATATCCCTCCTACTTTTTTCCCATTCCACTTTTTCTATATTTCTATAAACATTTCATAATTCGATAATATATGTATAGTTTTTGAAACATTTTCTCTTTGTCCAACTTTCTTTACAACTTTCCCATACAATGTTATTGGTTCATTTGATTCCTTTATTTCACGATTTGTTTGTTTTCTCAATACTTGTATGAAATGTCTTGTTTACACATATTTGTGTCATCAGATCACTTACATTTAAACATGTTGAGTAATTTCATATCGTTAATAGATACTAGTATCAATTAGTATACAAAGATTTGAGCTAGTCTTACCAATAAGGTTTACCTATAACGAATGTCGAAACTTCAAATCTTTTAGGGAGTGTTTAATATGGAGTATAAGAGTTTGAAGAGATGAACACGGAAGTAAAGGAAATCTTCCTTGTTTGGGAGTTACAAAA